TAAAGCAGAAAAAAGCCTAAAGAGGAAAACAAATTCAGCCACCACACCTAAGAATTGATACAATAAATGTTTGCTTTTGGTTTAATACGGCTTTAAGAGCATGGCTACCTTTGTGTAGCTACTAGAGTTAATACCTGCACTCATGCACTGTTTATGAAAGTTTAATTTGGGTATATATATGGTTGTCCAAAGGGTTATTATCCAGAAATACCACTTCCTCATGAATAGAAGAATATGTGCCTTTAAATAAATCAGTAATGCAATGATCAGCAAAACGATGATAGGAAGTTTACAGCAGATAAAAGTGGCATACCTCAACCAATAAGCTGGACTTGGAAGGCTGTTTATAAAGTTTTGTGGAGTCAGAAATCCTTTCAAACACTTCTAGTATAGAAATATGGGAAGGACTGTGCCAAATGCGGTTATCTGATGGATAGTACATACCACAATTGTTTTACTGTATGGTTTATATCCTGTACTCATTAACATTAAACATCACTTTCTCTCTGATATTTTGCTTGTTTATGCCAGTACATATATACCTTCTACACTGTTGTATTTCCAAGTTTGGAAAGGCAGAATCTGAAAAAAACACGAACAATAAAAAGAGTTTTAGAATCTGGCTGATTAATACATTATTTTTGCTAACAGGCAAAATAATAAAATGAAAAAAAAATTCTAGGCTTTCCGTTTAAATCCACGTTAGTAGCTTAGACATCTCTCTGGTGTAGCCATTATTAAGGTGGAGTTCCACCCAAAAGGGGAAGTTCCGCTTTAATGATTGGTCCCCCGCTCCCCATAAAGGATTGGCACCTTTGGGGAGACCGGGGGGGGGGGGGAGTGGGTACCTGAAATTGACAGGTACCCGCTCCCACTTCCGCTGCGATCTCCTAGGCGATCGGAAGCGGAAGTTGTCCACCTACCCTCCCTCCCCATAGTCTTGTGGGACATGCGACAGATCCCAGAAAACGACGGGGCCATTCAGGAAACGCAGCACTACTCGCGCATGCGCAGTGGGCAGCCATGAGCTGTCACAGCCGGGTGCCCACACTGAAGATGCCAGCGCCTGGAATACAGGACACCCGGTGAAACGGGCTGCGGTGGGGGCACCGTGGAATCATGGGACAGGTGAGTGGCTGTTTTTTAAAAGTCAGCAGCTAGTTTTTGTATCTGCTGACTTTTATTTTTTTACAAAGTGAGTGGAACTCCACTTTAAAGCTACAACATAAATGCACATCTTTTTACGGGTAAAAAATTTGCATTTATTATTTTTTTTCTCACTAGAAGCCTGCACAGCATTGCCCCTGCGATTAGCAGATCACAGGTGCAATCTCAGGCTCCTGCAGACTGTCAGTATATCTGTCAGCTTGTACCTCATACGAGCAGGCTGACTAGTTCTAGAGTAAAGTTTGACCAAGTGAATAAATATGCAACTCCCTACTCACAAAATCATTGGCATCATTGTGTTAGAAAATGCACCAAGCCTTTCTAATGCAGTGTATTAAAATTGATTGTAACAGAAAACATGTTTTAGATGCATTTTTCCTTCTTTTTTTTTTATTTCCTTGCTGCAGATGTGAAATCAAGGTCGTGTGCCTAAAAGTACATTACGTTTTTAGTGTGCTTGCAATACCATTACCCTTGACTTGATAATGTAATACACATTTCCCAGAACCACAAGGAAGATGCAGCAAACAGGATTGCACAAAGATACAAGACCCAGTACCATGACTCAACAAATTCATAGACTATAATAGAAACCAATTTCACCATATTTTTGGGGCGATGTGAATATGCTTTTTTAATGCAGTTGTGTTACCAGGTTCTGTCAGTTATCAGTACTTTTCAGTAGCTTGAATGACTGAAAATGACCTAGGAACTGCCCATAAACATGTCTTACCAAGCTAAAGCACAGTGCAGTTGTATATAATCCTCTGTTCTCTATGTGGATAGAGTACTGCCATGTTTAAACACTTGACCTCCAGCAGGTTTAACCCCCTTCATGACCAGGCCATTTTTTTGCTATTCAGCACTGTGTTACTTTAACTAACAATTGCACAGTCATGCAACATTGTACCAAAATGAAATTTATATCATTTTTTTTTACACAAATAGAGCTTTCTTTTGGTGGTATTTGATCACCACTGTTTTTTTTTTTTCGCTAAATAAAACAAAAAAGACTAAAAGTTTAAAAAAAAAAACCCAATATGTTCTACTTTCTGTTTTAAAACATATCCAATAAAATCAAATGGATTCTACTACATGTCCTTGGTAAAAAAAAAAATCCCAATAAGGGTACATTAATTGGTTTGTGTGAAAGTTATAGAATCTACAAACTAAAGTATACAGTGCCTTGAAAAAGTATTCGTACCCCTTGGAATTTTCCACACTTTGTCATGTTACAACCACAAAAGTAAATGTATTTTATTTGGATTTTATGTGATAGACCAACACAAAGTGGCACATAATTGTGAAGTGGAAGGAAAATTATGACTGGTTTTCAAAGGTTTTTACAAATAAATATCTGAAAAGTGTGGTGTGCATTTGTATTCAGCCCCCCTGAGTCAATACTTTGTAGAACCACCTTTTGCTGCAATTACAGCTGCAAGTTGAGGGAACCATGAATGCCAACATGTACTGTGACATACTGAAGCAGAGCATGATCCCCTCCCTTCGGAGACTGGACTGCAGGGCAGTATTCCAACATGATAACGACCCCAAACACCTCCAAGACGACCACTGCCTTGCTAAAGAAGCTGGAGGTAAAGGTGATGGACTGGCCAAGCATGTCTCCAGACCTAAACCCTATTGAGCATCTGTGGGACATCGTCAAATGGAAGGTGGAGGAGAGCAAGGTCTCTAACATCCACCAGCTCTGTGATGTCATGGAGGAGTGGAAGAGGACTCCAGTGACAACCTGGAAGCTCTGGTGAACTCCATGCCCAAGAGGGTCACGGCAATGCTGGAAAATAATGGTGACCACACAAAATATTGACACTTTGGGCCCAATTTGGACATTTTCACTTAGGGGTGTACTCACTTTTGTTGCCAGCTGTGTAGACATTAATGGCTGTATGTTGAGTTATTTTGAGGGGACAGCAAATTTACACTGTTATACAAGATGTACACTCACTACTTTACATTGTAGCAAAGTGTCATTTCTTCAGTGTTGTCACATGAAAAGTTATAATAAATTATTTACAAAAATGTGAGGGGTGTACTCATTTCCATGAGATACTCTAGGTCTGGACTTAGACTGGGCCATTCTAACACATAAATATGCTTTGATCTAAATCATTTCATTGTAGCTCTGGCTGTAAGTTTAGGGTCGTTGTCCTGCTGGAAAGTGACCCCCTCCCCCCAGTCTCAAGTCTTTTGCAGACTCTAACAGGTTTTCTTCTAAGATTGCCCTGTATTTGGCTCCATCCATCTGCCCATCAACTCTGGCCAGCTTCCCTGTCCCTGCTGAAGAAAAGCAGCCCCACAACATGATGCTTCCACCATCATGTTTCACGGTGGGGATGGTGTGTTCAGGGTGATGTGCAGTGTTAGTTTTCTGCCACACACAGCATTTTGCTTTTAGGTCAAAAAGTTTAATTTTGGACTCATCTGACCAGAGTACCTTTTTCCACATGTTATCTGTGTCCCCCACATGGCTTCTTGCAAACAGCAAATGGGACTTCTTATGGCTATCTTTCAACAATGGATTTCTTCTTGCCACTCTTCCATAAAGGGCAGATTTGTGGAGTGCCCGACTAATAGTTGTCCTGTGGACAGATTCTCTCACCTGAGCTGCAGATCTCTGCAGCTCCTCCAGAGTTACCATGGGCCTCTTGGCTGCTTCTCTGATTAATGCTCTCCATGCCCAGCCTGTCAGTTTAGGTGGATGGCCATGTCTTGGTAGGTTTGCAGTTGTGCCATACTCTTTCCATTTTCATATGATGGACTGAACAGTGCTCCATGAGATGTTCAAAGCTTGGGATATTTTTTTATAACCTAACCCTGCTTTAAACATCTCCGTAACTTTATCCCTGACCTATATGGTGTATTCCTTAACCTTCATGATGCTGTTTGTTCACTAATGTTTACTAACAAACCTCTGAAGGCTTCACAGAAGAGCTGTATTTATACTGAGATAAAATTACACACAGGTGGACTCTATTCACTAATTAGGTGACTTATGAAGACAATGGGTTCCACTAGATTTTAGTTAGGGGTATCAGAATAAAGGGGGCTGAATACAAATGCACGCCACACTTTTCAGATATTTGTTTGTAAAGAATTTTGAAAACCATTTACCATTTTTCTTCCACTTCACAATTATGTGCCACTAGCACATAAAATTCCAATATAATACATTCACATTTTTGGTTGTAACATGACAAAATGTTAAAAATTTCAAGGGATATGAATACTTTTTAAAGGCACTGTATATACAGTATTTGAAAATTGATCAATTCTGATTTACTGATGACCTATCTCATTTCTTGAGACCCTAAACTGCCAAGACAGTAAAATACCCCCCAAATGACCCCTTTTTTGAATAAATTTTTTGATACGTAGTAAGAGGAATGGTGAGTTATTAGTAAGAGGAATGACGAGTTTTTTGAAGTTGTAATTTTTTGTCACAATTCTTTGGAAAATTAAGAAATTAAATATTTTTTTTTTTCACAGTTTAGTATTACATACTGTCACCAGTGCAGTACAGCATCATCATATGATTGGTGTGGTCATGATCAGGAATACTGACTGGGGACAGTATATTTAAAAAAATAATAATTTTGGTATTCAATTTTTTAAATATATTTTTTCTTTTTTAACTTTTTATTTTTATATATACATACTTTCATCAGAGTAGTTCAGTATCAACATAGTGACACTGTACTACTCTGGTAGTCTGATCAGGGATTTTGTTTTCACTTTGATTGCTGTTACAGTGATGATCACTGTAACAGCAATGCTTTGAACTGTCATGGATTATATTCATAACAGCTGTGATTACTATTGTGTGCTGTGATTGGCCCACAGCTTTCACATGGCACAGGGTGCTGTGATTGTCCCAGGTACCATGTGATAGTTGTGGGCCAGCACAGCATCACTATAGAAATTAATTCATAACAACTTTTTTGACATTGTGATTATGTGATCGCATAGCAATCACATGATCACAACATAGCTCAAAGCAAACACAGTGGCTGTGGGAGTGGCATGCTGCGCACCCCACAGTTGGTGATGTACATGTACGTGATCCAGCCTGCCTGTGCTGCCCGCTCACAGTAAAAATGTACTGTGGGTAGGAGGGAACTGGTTAAAGTGTATGACCACCAGAAACTTGTTTGTATTGAATAGAGTGGCAAAGAAAGGGGAACCCTCCACCAACAAAACAGACGAAAATGTGCTTTTCTTTACTGTAGTAGCATAGGAGAATTTTAGAATCCCTGTCAGATTTTTATATTCTGTCTATGTTCCCATAGCAGGTTTTCCTACCTGTTTGGTGAAACCGTTAACAGCTGGACAGAAAGTTGGGGTAAATATCTCTATTGGAACCCCAGGTAGTGGTAAAAAGCCACCAGGAGCTCTCATACACCCCCATTTCAATCAAAACTAAATTTTTTTTTTGTTTTTTGGCTTGACATACGCTTTAATTAGATAAATTGTACCACCTGTTCTAATTCTGTAGGACATTTTGTTATTCAGTACATTTTGTTTCTCAGCCTACCGAAAACAAGCTACCTCGGCTTTTAAGACCCATTTGGCACAGGCTTTTAAGATATGTGGTGTAAGAACTCCAAAGCCTTCTTAGTACAGCAAGATGTAAAAGGTTTTGCCAAATACAAATGATACATAGATCATTACACCACAAATGTTTTATTGTAAAGGTTGTATTCAAGCCCAGTATCAGGTAATGGTAGTATTTTGCATGTAGCACAAAGATCTTGATGGGTTACTTACATTATTGGGCACTGTGTGAGACTGACACCGAGGGGGGTATTTATAATAAAAATTCTCCAATCCCAGAGGATGCCATTCTTGGAGAAACGCGTCGGGTGGAGCTTTCTGTGACGTCACCACATTCCGGCCGGTGGTCTGACACCGCAGGAATTTTAAATTTGTGTACTGACTTTATGCACCTTATCTATGTAAGTGCAATACTTTAATAAATTCTTTGTGAGTTTATCGGGTTGCACTATGAAGTTTTCTTCTCCTGTTTTAAACCCTTCCTTACATGGTTTGGAGAGCCGTTTGGTGTGAGGAATCCGTCGGGGTGAACCTGCAGTTGTTCATTCACCACCTTGATACTGCTAACATGGGTGTCAGTGTGGGATCTGAACACCGTCAGCTCATTTGATCTCTTGATTGGAGATCAATGTGTCTGGTAAGAGGCTGATTTTTCTGTTGTGACAAGCACTTATGGACACCAATACACTTATGTTGGAAGATTTTTCAGCACACAGCACTCTGTCACTGGATTTGGGACTTTATTCACTTTATGGATTTGGACTTTTTATAGTACTTTAGCAATATATTTTTTGCTATATTAGCATTCATTTGTTTCTGTCTTTTGAATATATTGTGTTTAGATATTGCATTTGATTGTTTAGTGTACAGCGACCTAGATCAAACCTTGATCTAGATATGTTTTACATTTTTTACATTTTATTTTTTTATTATTATTATTATTATTATTTATTTATTTTACACACACTTGATTTTTTTTTCTCTCTAAAAGGACAGAGAAAGAGATACAATGTATCTCTCTCTTCCATTCAGAGAGAGAAAACACAGAGGCAGGATTCACAGCGACTGATCATTGTGGTGGCCAATCAGAGGCTATCACAGCGATCAGGTGACCCAGAATCAGGAATTCTGGGTCCTGTCATTAGAACGGGACCCAGGGCTCTCAGTGAGACCCCATTCTCTGTCCTGGGAGCACTCAGGACAGCACAAAGACAGGTATGCAAATTAGCAGCCCCACTGCATAAAGCCCAGTGCAGTGGGGCCACTAATTTGCGTAGTGTTGGCGTGAAGGGGTTAAGTAAACCTGTCATAATAGAAATACACTGCTAATTTCGTTTACAAAATTCTAGTAAACTGGCTATTATTTTGCCACAATTTTTTGGAAATGAAGAACCACAAAGGGTTAAAACATGGAGCTTGGTAATGGTGCACTAGATAATATTAGTATAAACCTCCTGTGCTCCTAACTAAAACAATAAATACAGATATAAAAAGAAAAACACTGTACTACTTGTGGGGGTGATGAAGTTTTTTTTTTGTTTTTTTTACACTGATTGCTTTTACACCCATAGAGGCTGTAAAAGCAATCATTTCTCCTTCTCTCTGGCTGCATTCTTGCAACCATTGAGAACTACTGTGTGAGCTGTGATTGGTCACATGGTACAAGGCTGTTGTGAATAGCCTTGTACCATGTGACCTCTGTGATCTTTCACAGATTTCACACGTAGTAAGCAATGATGTCAGAAGTCACATCTTGCTTACTACTCTGCATGTGATCACTGATTGGCCAATCAGTGATCACACGATCGGGACCTCGCACAGAGGTCCCGTACGATGTTCGGTGTTATACTGTGTCCAGAGGACACAGCGGGCACCAGATCACGGTACTGCGCGCTCCCAGGGAGCACAAACAAGCAGGGGGCGGGGAGTCATTTATAAACGGCCACCTGACCCTGCACTGCCACGGGATGGGAGGTGGTTAAGGTGGTAACAAACAACGCTGGACACCTGTGCCTGCAGGTACGCTAACAGTTTACTTGTACTTACAAGGAATATCTCCTAAACCAGGGGAAGGCAACCTGTGGCTCTCTAGCTGTTGTGGAACTACATTTCCCATGAGGCATTGCAACATTACAAAACTGACAGTTACAGCTATGACTTGCAGAGGAATGATGGAACTTGTAGTCCTGCAACAGCTGGAGAGCGGCAGGTTGCTTACCCCTGTCCTAAACGGTGCATGTGCTCTGACTCACACTCATGCTGTCCCTTTAGAACCCTGTGCTGAGGCCGTGACTCCTGTGCACATGTGCAGAAGTGATGTCATCTCGGCTCAGCCATTCAAATGGATGGAGCCCGCGAACCCGGAAGGAAGACTGGGTGAAGATGGAAGCCCTGTCAGTGGTGACTGCGCACGGCTGGAGGATTTCTTTTAAAGGAAAGTCTTTCATAATGTGCTAGTATGCAATGCACACTAGTACCTTATGCTCCTAACTTGTAGGGAGATTTTTTTTTTTTTTTTAAATACAAACAAGCGTTTACTACTGCTTTAACCACCTCCCACCACCATAAAGTAATATGACGGACACAAGGTGGTTCTCTCGTTCTGGGAGGACGTCATATGACGTCCCTCCCATTCTAACCGCACATACACGGCTCCCGGAGCGCGTGGCGATCAGTGTTGCGCTGTGTCCCTTGGAAAGAGCAGAAGATGTTGGCTCGGTCATGTGATCAGCTGTGTCCAATCACAGCTGATCACATGTAAACAGGGAATGTCACGCTGACAGCTCGAGAGGAGAGGAGAGCCGGTAATCGGCATTCCGCCGAGGGGACATGTACACACTGATCATCAGAGCACTGATGATCAGTGTAGCCCCAGCAGTGCCATCTGTAAGTGTCCATCAGTTCCAGTTGTCAGTGCTCATCAGTGTCACCCATCAGTGCCAGTCATAGCCACCTATCAATGCCAATCAGTGCGCTTATTAGTGCTGCCTATCAGTGCACATAAGTGCCACCTATCAGTGCCAGTCAGTGCTGCCTAACAGTGCCAGTCAGTGCCACCTAACATTGCCAGTCAATGCCACCTATCAGTGCCAGTCAGTGCCGCCTATCAGTGCCATATATCAGTGCTGCCTTTCAGTGCCCATCAGTAATGACTGTCAATGCCCATCAGTGCCACCTACCAGTGCCTCCTCATCAGTGCCCATCAGTGCTGCCTATCAGTGCCCATCACTGCAGCCTCATTAGTGCACATCAGTGAAGGAGAAAAATCACTTATTTACAAAATTGTATAACAAAAACTAACTTTTTTTTCAAAATTTTCAGTGGTTTTTGGTTTGTTTAAGAAAAAATAAAAAACCCAGAGGTGATTAAATACCACCAAAATAAAGCTCTATCTGTCACAAAAAAATGACAAAAATTTCATATGGGTACAGTGTTGCATGACCGCGCAATTGTCATTCAAATTGCAACAGCGCTGAAAGCTGGAAATTGGCCTGGGCAGAAAGGGGGGTATAAGTGCCCTGTAGGCTAGTGGTTAAATGTACAGGTCAGGAGGAGGAAGTGAAAAGGTGGTTATACAAGTCATACACAATGGCAGGATGAAGATGAGGGGTTATTGTGTAGGTGTACAGAGTGAGGGAGGTGAGTTGTTAATATACAGGTCATACACAATAGCAGGATGAAGATGAGGGGTTATTGTGTAGGTGTACAGAGTGAGGGAGGTGAGTTGTTAATATACAGGTCATACACAATGGCAGGATGAAGATGAGGGGTTATTGTGTAGGTGTACAGAGTGAGGGAGGTGAGTTGTTAATATACAGGTCATACACAATGGCAGGATGAAGATGAGGGGTTATTGTGTAGGTGTACAGGGTGAGGGAGGTGAGTTGTTTGTATACAGGTCACATACAGAGACAGGCTGGAGATCAGGTGTAGGAGAGGTGACAGCTCAGTTCACAGCTATTAACAGGTGCAACAGCTGCCTGCGGGCAATTTCCACAGCAGTGTTTATACATTCCACTGCAGAGATAACAATCCACCACTCCACTGCACGTACCTAGCATGTACATAGCATCATACGGTATATAAATTAAAAATATAAAGCAACATGAAACTCTTGAAGTATTTGTTAGCTAAACGTGTTACTAAACCCCGGACCCTGCACTCACTATATCTGGTCTCCCACAGTACACAGAACATGGAAGTGCAAATATTTTAATAAATATAAACTGCTAAACACCTTTTCTCATCAGCAGTACATAGCAGTCTTGTGACTTCTGACAGTGTCCAGCAGAGTACTGGTTACAGCTTGTAGAAGTTTTCATTCTCCCTTGATTGTCCTATGAGGCTGCATAAACCCAGACCCTCTGTCTGGCATAGCTGATTGGTCCTGTGCTGATCACATACACCCTGCAAGAAAAAAAAAATTTTTTAGCAATACACACCAAACTCAGCATGTGCAGCTTGCCCCCGAGGCTCTATATTATCAGCAGATGGATTGGGGACAGTAGAAGAAGGGGAGGATCAGAGAAGACAGGATCAAACATCTGTTTTACACAATGTGGAGGATTAACCCCTTAGGTTCCACAACGAGTATAACAAACATGCTTTACTGCATATACAGACTGATTCTACCTCCAAACCTTTTCAGATGGGAACAAGGGACACCTATTAACAAAAGTTTGTAGACATAGGACACACCCCTGCCACGCCCCCCTAAAAGAGAATTATATTTAAAAAATGATTAGGTAAACCCACATGAAATGTTTAGCATTGGAAAACACTATTTGAAAGAGAAAAAGTGCATTTTATATTCAACTATAGAGATCAGACCAAAATGAGGGACAAATGAGGAGGAATGAGGGTCAGAGGGTCTTTGTTCCAAATCAGGGACAGTACCTCAAAATCAGGGACAGTTGGGAACTATGATTTTACTGTTGTGGGTTTAGTAACACTTTAACTCACTGAAGAAAATAAAATAAATAATCCCCTGTAAAATATTTGATAAAATTCATACCCCAGTACTTGCAGTTTACACTGCTGCTGGCTCCTGTTCTCTCAGTACAGCTTCCCTGGATTTAACAGTGGAAAGTGCAGTCTTTAGTCAGTCTGTGAGGATGGAGAAGGAGGGGAAGGAGAGAGGAGCAGGGAAGAGGTTTCCATACTTGGCTACAGAGATGTGTGTTTCTATTGATGCACACAGTGTAGGGAGAAACAGCTTCCTGAATGCAGAGGTGGCTCCTTATGAGTTGGCAAGAGAAGGGAGCCTCTGTAAAAGTGACAGTAAAGCTTTGTTTTTTTTTTTTCTAAAATAACAAACATGTCTATACTTACTTACTTACTCTGTGTGTTCTTTTCAGGTCCCTTCCCGCACTCTTGGCTCCTCCTCCTTGAGCAGTGCCCCCAGGGAAATCCACTGACCCTGGGGGCACCTCTGCATGCTTGTCCCCGAGCTGCTGCTCTATGCATCTATAAGACACATAGAGCAGAAGCTTGGCCCTGCCCCCTCTCTCTCTTTATTGGCTCACTGGCTGTGATTGACAGCAGCAGGAGCCAATGGGCTACCGTGGCTGTCTCAGCCAATGAGGAGGAAGTGTCCCCAGGCAGCACAGGCTGTTGAGAACGTCACTGGATCGAAGGGGGCTCGGGTAGTGCATGAAGGTAAAAAACCTACAGCCTTTAGAACAGTGGTTCTCAACCTTTCTAACGCCGCGACCCCTTAATACAGTTCCTCATGTTGTGGTGACCCCCAACCATAAAATTATTTTCGTTGCTACTTCATAACTGTAATTTTGCAGTAGGAGGAATAGTGCCACGTCATTGGTGTCAGTGGGAGGAATAGTGCCCCATCATTGGTATCAGTGGGAGGAATAGTGCCCCGTCATTGGTGTCAGTGGGAGGAATAGTGCCCCTTCATTGGTGTCAGTGGGAGGAATAGTGCCCCGTCATTGGTGTCAGTGGGAGGAATAGTGCCCCGTCATTGGTGTCAGTGGGAGGAATAGTGCCCCGTCATTGGTGTCAGTGGGAGGAATAGTGCCCCGTCATTGGTGTCAGTGGGAGGAATAGTGCCCCGTCATTGTTGTCAGTGGGAGGAATAGTGCCTCATCATTGGTATCAGTGGGAGGAATAGTGCCCCGTCATTGGTGTCAGTGGGAGGAATAGTGCCCCGTCATTGGTGTCAGTGGGAGGAATAGAGCCCCATCATTGGTGTCAGTGGGAGCAATAGTGCCCCATCATTGGTGTCAGTGGGAGGAATAGTGTCCCATCATCGGTGTCAGTGGGAGGAATAGTGCCCCATCATTGGTGTCAGTGGGAGGAATAGTGTCCCATCATTGGTGTCAGTGGGAGGAATAGTGCTCCATCATTGGTATCAGTGGGAGGAATAGTGCCCCATCATTGGTGTCAGTGGGAGGAATAGTGCCCCATCATTGGTGTCAGTGGGAGGAATAGTGCCCCATCATTGGTATCAGTGGGAGGAATAGTGCCTCATCATTGGTGTCAGTAGGAGGAATAGTGCCTCATCATTGGTGTCAGTGGAAGGAATAGTGCTCCATCATTGGTATCAGTGGGAGGAATAGTGCCCCATCATTGGTGTCGGTGGGAGGAATAGTGCCCCATCATAGGTGTCAGTGGGAGGAGGAATAGTGTCCCATCATCGGTATCAATGGGAGGAATAGTGCCCCATCATTGGTATCAGTGGGGGGAGGAATAGTGTCCCATCATCGGTATCAATGGGAGGAATAGTGCCCCATCATAGGTGTCAGTGGGAGGAGGAATAGTGTCCCATCATCGGTATCAATGGGAGGAATAGTGCCCCATCATAGGTGTCAGTGGGGGGAGGAATAGTGCCCCATCCTTGGTGTCAGTGGGGGGAGGAATAGTGCCCCATCCTTGGTGTCAGTGGGGGGAGGAATAGTGCCCCATCCTTGGTGTCAGTGGGGGGAGGAATAGTGCCCCATCCTTGGTGTCAGTGGGGGGGAGGAATAGTGC